TCCTCTCCTCTCCTCTCCTCTCCTCTCCTCTCCTCTCAGCGTTTGGAGACAGACGGGTCCTTCAGATGTGCCTGGCTCCTCTTGTTGGGTTTTCCTGCAGCGTGGCTGTTCCCTGGGCCCCGCTGGGCAGTGCATTTAGAGTGGGGGACGTTGTCCTTCCTGCAAGGAAGAGAGAGGACAGGTGTTGTCAGACACACGGTGTCCCAGCAGCAGGTGAGTGTGTGGGGTGAGCTCTGAGGACAAGCCCTGTGTGAAGTCTCGCAGTGAAGTGCATCTGTAAGGAAGGCTTTGGCAGCCCCAGACAGATGAGAGGTGGTTAAAGACCAGCTGATCCCATCCCTCTCTGGCCAGAGCAGGGTTAGTCCTTCCAGGAGGCTTCAAGGGCTTTGTGCTAGCTCTGAGCTCTCCAAGAGAAGGGTTCCATTACTTCTCTTTGGGTGAAGCACTTACCACTGTTTTCTCCAACTGAGGTTCCTGTACCTGAAATATTTCCCTTCATTTCTGCTCATGAACAGCCCTCTTCTCACTGTGAATATTTCCTTCTGGAGCATGTACCATTCACAGGTTGGCTGGGTTCACACATCTGCTCACAGCTGGATTGCCCCCACTTCCAGATGGGTCAGAGTCTTTGGGGACAGGCTCTGACTGTGTGGCCAGGGAGCACCCAGCACCCAGCACATGATGCCAGTGCTTCCAGCATCCAGACCAGTGCCTTCAAAGAACCCACGAAGACGTGATACTGCTATTTCACTGTGCCCATAACTTCAATTATCTAACTCCGATTATCTAGCACTCATGCCAAATTTCAGTTGCCAGCATTGTTTGGAGTTTCCAGTGCCCCTTTCAGGCTGCAGCCCCAGCAGAGCTGTGCGAGTTTTATAACTGGCCTCCAAAGGAGCAGGGTTGAGATAAATACAAAGTACTTTTTGCAGTGATGCCCCAGGAGTTCACAGGGTAAGATCTGAGCTTTTCACAACCCAGCACCACAGAACCAGCTCCCCAGCTTCCCACAGCTTGTCTGGTGGAAAGACTTGCTTTGTAACACTTCAGTTCCTGATAAGGAACTGAATAAGTCTCACTACTTGTTTCTCAGACAAAACACTCTTCTGTGTGTGTGTTTACAGTGTGCATGATGAATTTTTACTTTAAGGAAGAGTAAATCTCTACTATCAGTTAATTCTGTACCATTTCTATTCTATTTACTTATAGAGCTGATGAAACTCCAGTTTTCTTGATCCAAGCACCCCGAATCACCCCAAGAAATAGGGCCCCTCTGTAATGACAGAGAGAAACCTGCCTTCCTCACCACACAAGTGTGTGTTTTTCAGTGCCTCTGCTTTTATTTGCAGAAAGATGTTTTAATATACATTAAAAAAAATTATAATAATATAGCTGCTGATGGGGCCCAGGGCTTAGAGGGCTTTACCTCCACCAGCCCTCCCCTTCTCCCCACTGTCACAGCTGCCACCAATTCAGCATTTACTGCATCTCTACAGTTCAATCACCAACCTAAGGCATAGTGATATTTTGAAGAGATAAACATTGAGACAAAAATAAATAAATTAGGACCCTGGGAGGGAGACCTGAAAGGCACAATGAAGTGAGACCAAGCAGTTTCTCTGGTTCTGTGTATAATTACATTGACATGTTCCTAGACAACACTGGAGACCCAAACACAGCAGCAGCTGTGAACCAAATGGAGACTCATGAAAAACATCAGCCAGCCAGGCAGCCCATCCCTTGCCCTGGGGCTGCATCAGCATCCCCATGTCACTGCTGACAGCCTTCCTGCCTGCTCCCAGGGCACAGCCAGCACTGGATGGGCAGGCAGGACTCAGCCCCCATTTCTGTGCACCCACTCCAGTCACTGCAGCACCACTGCTGAGTGTCATTCCCATGCTCCTCCATGCAAATGAAGGAAACAATATAATGCAGAATATGCAAAGAGGGTAAAAATGGGTCTTAAACTTCCTTTTTCCTCATTTGGTTAACAGAGGAAAAGGAAATCCTGTCATGCCAACAGCACTTATGGGTGAGATTTTTAGACACTGGCCTTTTTCAGCCATCTGCTGAGCTGGAGCATCATAAGAATCAACCACTCGGTTCACATCAGGTACTTGTGACAAAGTGGCTTTTTTGGACATACAGCCAATTGACAGTCACAATCAAACCACAGCTCTGCTTCATGTTCATTGCACAGACAACAGTTAATCTTGCAGCCATGCAAACTGTTTTGCAAATTGAAATCTCAGAGGCATAGCAATTACAATACCAAATTTATACCACATCTCTCACTCAACTAATTGTACATCCAAAAAATCACCACTTGAATAATCTGAATACATTCACCTTTACAGCTAAAAAAGCCTCTGCTACATGCTTGATCTCAACACAATTTTGAGTTACAGAACCCCATGGGAAAAAAATGCCAACCTCTGATTTCAACAGGAAAATTGCTTCTATCTAAATACAGCAGATGCATAATTCACGCTGAGGTCTAACAGCCTGGCGTTCTCAGCAAAGCTCATTTTTACTCTGCAAAATTGGGGACGTTGCTATTGCTGCCTGTAGCTCTCCCAGCCCATGTACAGGAGCACAAGCCCTATGTGCACCTGCTCTGAATGTAGTGTGCAAGTTCACATCCAAAAGAACTGTACCTGATTTCTAATTGTCAGCAAATCTTAAAGGCCTTAAAAGGAATTGGCAGACTTTCAAACTGGGCTGATGTTTTGGATGAGTTGAGGTTTACAGAGCCACCAGTGGAGGCACAGTTGTGCTGCTGTGGCATTTTGAGCTCTTTCAAATACTCATTTCTTGACTTTTGTTTCCATCTCGTGAAGCAAGGCGAGGTGGGGTGATTTGAACTAGTGACTTTGCAGCTGGTGCATTAAAGAAAGTCAGAAGAGAATTGGTGTTTAAATTGCAAAGGGAGGTAAAAATAAAGTTATCTAAGCCATGTGAGTGGGATCAAAAATGAGTCATCAAGGCTGGAAAATGGGTAACCTCTGATCCCTGAAACTAAGAAATCTGGCTGCTGTCGTGCTGCTGCTGATCTAATTTTTACACTTTCCCCTCCATACAGAGGAGACACGTTTCCATTGTGTCCATCACAGCTAAACAATCAATGCCTGATCAGTCCCAATGCTTCACTCTCAGGGATGCACAATTAACCAGCACCATGTTTGACACTGCAAGGGGAGCACAGTATTTTCTGGGAATGCCTGACAAGTTTCAGTCATAAAGAACACAAACCAAATGACCCAGCAGATAATGACAGCCAGTGCCCTGACAGTTAGATAATGTGCATGCTCCAAAGCAAGGCCAATTAGAAGCAATAAAAACAAATTTCAAATGTTAGAGCAAAGGTCAGAAATCCTCAGCCATTACCACAGGCTTGATTTTTCTTTTTTTCCAGGAGTCAGCAGCACCTGTCTCTGGTGAGTGAGCATGTAGTCATGTTTGCCAGGTGCCTACCCATCCATTGCAGCACATTGTGACTTCTGGGCCATACAAACCCCACTAAAGTGGTGTGTGGAGAATCCCAGCACTACCTGAAAATCTCCTCACGTCTGTATCCTATGGCTCTGCCCTTCTGAGTGCAGGGGCTGGCCCACACTGCTGATAGAGAAGGCAGATGTTAGAGGGTGTGCATATGTCTCTCCCTCCACCACAGAAGGGATTCTGCTGCTTGCCATCCATCCCTCAATTCCTCCCTCCCCAGCTCAGTGCAGCAAGACACACCTGCTTTATCCAGGAGACAGTGCCCAGAGGCAGGAATAATTAGTTTATAGCTGGAGCCACACTATCACAAAAGAGAAGGAACCACAATTACAAGCAACTCACGTGGCTCACACACAGCCATCCTTGTGGACCCTGGAAGCTGCAGAGAACATAGGAATGGGTTTTGTCTTGGCTCCTGTCCTTCCATTTCCTAAGGAGCAGCAGGACAATAATGGATTGCACTCACCTGATGAGATGTAGCAGAAAATGGCAGTCTCATTCAGGTACCAGTATGATACTGGGATTAACATGCTGTGTACCTCAGACATTATCCATGCCAGCCCTCCCTTCACACAGGTCTCTGCCTCTGCTTTCAGAGCAGGAAAATCCCAGGCCAGGGTAATGCATGGAGTAACACAAATGCTGTAAATCTCCTTATTGAGCCCTGGCTTCCTCAGAGCAACAAGACCATGGAAGGAGAAGGAAAATAGGTGGGTACCTGCAGGAATACCTATGTGAGGATGCCTGTGAGAGCTAATCTAAATACATTTAGGATTTAAATGCAAAGCTGATTAGTGAAACCGCAGCAAACTCTTATGTGATATGCTCCTTCAGAGTTAAAGTAGCCATAATTCAATTTACTCATTTAGCTCATTTCCAAAAAAGTAAATTAAGGTGGAGTAAATTAAATTAAAACAGCTGACAGCACCTTCATTTTGAAAGGGATTGTTAATGTGGACCCAGTCTACCTCATACAGTAATGCAAATTATTTTTGCTTGCTAGGCCCCTCATCAGACACACCAGTTCCCTATCCTGAAGTATTTTTACACTCCCTCTATTCAGGGAGTCTCCAAGAGCAGGACCAAGCTGGACATGTATTTGGGTGTTTGCATGGGCTTTAGTGTGCACGTGATTAAATCCAGGGTAAAATCCCTGCAGCTGGCAGCCTCCTTCCCAAGTGTTTGAGAAGCTAATTGTTGTAATGAGGAATTTTGGTGAAGCCTCTGCTGGGAGCTGGCCAAGCACTGCACATCTCTAAACTCTGTAAATGAATCCTTTTCACTGAACCCACTCAAATGTCACTGTTCAAAGCTTGGAAGGTGTTCTTTAATGACAGCTACAAGTATCAAGAGTTGCATAAAAGGTGCAGACGTGTGTGGGAGTGAGCTGACAGATTATAATTACCAATACAGAAGGGAGGAAAACCCCCCAAAATTATTTTTTTAGGCAAAACATATAATTTGCCTTTAAACCTTAGTAGTGCTCCCTTTACTAATACAATTTACAGACCTAGAAATCCAATTGAAGCTGTTTGACTGTTTTCTATTTTGTTGCCCTCATTCCATTTCCTCCCTACTCTACAAATTGTAAGAGGTTTTGCTGACCTTTCACATTTGGTCTAGAACATTTTTCCTGTTTATTACACTTTGCTCTCCTC